AGCTATTTTCAGGATCTGCTTTAAGCCAAAATGAAAGCACCCATTGGTGATTTCTGACTTGATATAAGGAATCCAAACAGTTTATAATTTATAATTAAAAAGGAAGAGAAAGAGATTGCTATTTCTTTCCTTGGTGAATCAAAAGATCTTCTTTTCTGAAAGGGGTCTGAAAGTATTCAATTACTGTACCTATCCAGAACAACATATGAAATGATGATTCCTGATCTATGTCATGTTTACAGATGAGAAAATCCAAGTGCTAAATATAAAGCTGGCTTTCGTTTGCAAATGCAAAAGAATGCATTTGATTTTAGGTTTCAGAAACTTAACATCTCTATGTAAATACTGTTTGTCTTTTGGAATAATAAAAGAATGATTGTCTTAACTTGGGAAAATGAACAAAATACAATTGAAGATTATTATAATGCTTTTAGCAGGAGAGCAAGATGCTGCAAAGGTTAAGTTCATTTGGGGCATTACCCATGAGCATTCACCCACTTGGATACCCAGATCTCCTCACTACTCATTATCAGTCCTGTAAGGCTGGCACAGAAGAAAAAGGAATTTGCAGATTCTGGAAAACCTAGGAATTCCACAAAGAAGGTGGTGTAGGAAAAAAGCAATGGCAAACAAAAGAAAACCATAGCGTAAGGTTAACACTGAGCATTTTACTGAGGAAATGGATCTGAAGCAGAGACTGCCGTGTCTGCAAATAAATACACTTTGAGTTTTAACCTACACATGAGAGGGTTTTAACTACACGTAAACCCACCATGCATACCGCTGGGTCACCAAAACCGGTGCTGCCTGGGATCACACTCCTTGTAACTTGAGCAGTAATGTCCTTGTCCCCAGAGGAGAAAATGATTCCCGCACCCTGAAGAGAAAATGGGGGGCCTTGGACTTCCTGTGGTTGGACTGAAGCTCTGTGCTCACATTTCGGTATCTGTAAAGCCTTCATGAAATGAAGTGAGGGCTTATTGGATTTCTCGCCTCCTTGATTAGCTTCCCTGAAGACTCTATATATTTGCCTCCTTTCTATGCATTTTCATCTTTCATTAAAATTATGTATGAAACGACCTCTTTGAAAGCTCCATCAAAGTGCAACATCAGAAAACCCCCTAAAAAGAATTTGGATTCTTATCTCTTACAGAAAGTTTAAATGCCTTAAAGGAAGAGCATTAACCTTGAAGAACCCCCATGGAGCCTTTTAACTCTGTGGCTGGCCAGGGTCCATCATCTTGACAGAGGGCTCAATGGGGAGAGAAGTATAGTTGGGGCTCTAGGTCAGAATCCATGGCCACCCCAAAGCTGCCTTTCAGAGGCCTGTACACAGCCTACATCACTGACACCCCAGGGCTGCCTCCAATTAGGAAAGTCTTGGGATTCGTGAAAGAAAAAGGAATGATCATACTTTATCTTTTCTCCTTTGTTCAGCTCAGCCAAGTATATGATGTCCAATCTTTGTAGCAGGACAGAAGTCACCACTGATGCCTTCATTTCTAGCCCAGGCTGTGGGTCCTGATCATTCAGTAACCAGCCCTCCGCTCTGTCCCTGACATTCCCTGAACAGATCACTCTGGTTTTTTTCTGTTAGCTGCCACCATTTGAGTGTAGTTGCTCAATAAAATCAGCGACACTTTTCTAGTTGCTAAAGTAGCAGCTCCTATGTGTGCCAGCCACTGTGCTAGGCATAGATTTTAGGGGTTTTGGTCCTCATGGCATCAGGTATTGTCCCCACCTTCTGAGTGATCCTCTCCTAGCCTTTATTTATATTTTAAGTAACCTTGGGTTATACCATTGTATGTTTCATATGTTCATGGTTGAGAATTAACATATGTCCATACTACAGGAAGCTCACCGCTAAAAGTCCTCTATGATCATGCTCTCCAACCCTTCCCAACTCTGCTTCTAGTTCCTTTGGTGACTTTTCATTCTGCCCCACCCTTGAAGTAGTCACCTGGCCCAAGGGGTGTTTCTGAACCCTCTTCTTGATCCTCTGCCTATCCCATCTCTTCAGCCACCCTCTCCCCTTTATGTGGATGGGTTTCCAAATCTGGTTCTTACTTCTAATTTCCTCCTGGACATCACCAACTGATTTCAGACCAAGCGCATTCGAAAGAATTTCCATTATGTTTCTGCAAAAGCATATTCCCCTCTAGATCCCTTATCTCAGTTAATGGCCTCTTCCTCTGTAACATCCCCCTGCTCACTCATCTGCTAAAGTAGATCAGTCAGGCGAGCCTCTCAAGTCTCCCTTATTGGAGTTTGGCTTTCCCCTTCCATTCTCCAGCACCTCTACTTAGCTCAGATGCATAGGTTTTCTCATGTGAATTTCCACAACTTCCTGCCTCCCTGCGTGCAGCCTCCAGGGTCCCACCCCATCGAGCCACCAGCATTATCTTTCTGCAACACAGCTCTATTGTGCCACTCCCTCCTACTCAAAAGCTTCCAGTGGATGCCCATTTGGATGCCCATTTGGGTACCATACCAGCTTCATCTCCCACCAGTTGCCTAAGCCCACCATATTATTTTTCATTCCCAGGCATATGTGTGTTGGTTCTGCCACCAAAATAGCCTCTTACATCTCCTGAAAATAGCCTCTTACATCTCCTGAAAATTTTCTTAATCATACCCCACAGGAGGTGGGTGTGTGTTGAATGCAGAAATGACGATTTGCCCCCCTGTGTCATGCACACTAAGCCTCTCTCCCTGCCCTATTCCCTGGAGGCAGTTCATAGCGCAGTCTCATTTGTCAACACTGGTATCATGGGTTTTCTTTGCAGCCAGGTGTGGCTCATGTGCCTCTTTCTCCTTCCCGTGGCAGACATCATTCCAGCCCTCTTCCCGCCGAGCCCAGACACAGGTTCCACAACACAGCAGTTCACACAGCCATTTCCAGCAGCTGCGGTTTGCACACTGTTGAGGTCTGTGTGACATCCCCAGAACTAAGCTGAATGTTTCCAACAATGAGCACAGTGGGCTGCCTAGTATAACTGTTCAATTATTGAATGAATGGCAAGTGGATTTTCCTTTTTTCTCTTTGGATTTCTCTTAATACCAAAGAAGATGTTAGTATTTTAATCTTATGTTAGCTGTATGTTTCTTCATATTACAGAGAAATCTGTCAAGGAGATGTATTCATGAGCAAGGCGATTTGTGGCAGTCCATTGTTGTACTTTGCAAAGAATTCTTCGCACCCACTTTCAGCCCACCAAACTCTCACCTGTGCCTGGCACAGCCCTCTTTTATGGAATTCTGCCTGCTGCTTGGCCTTATAATCAGCATAATAATAACACTGCACGTTATTTCATCTAGCCTTTGATTTACCTTACACATTTATATGACTTGGTTGGATATAGCATTAAAAAGATGAAAGTGTCTAACCTTACATTCCAGTTCCATAATGACTGTTTTTGGTAATGACAAAAGAAAACTAGAAAGTCTGGATAATTATAAAATGACTTAGGAGGCAATTCAAGAAGCCCTGCTTTGTTCTAGACTGTATAAAGCACTTAATAACTATAAAATAGTAATACTCTTGGTAAACTACTTTCCTTCTTTGTAACAGGTATACAAACGATGTGTCAAAACAATCAGGATATTGTGAAATGCTTTTTCCATGGCTCAAGTGAAAGATGCAATATAGTTATCTTTATTGAATTCAGTGAGTTTCCTCTACTCTGTCCAATTAAAAGCCTTCTTTAATTCTGGTCACAATTCAGAGTATAAAAATGGAAAATTGAGTAATATAAATGAAGAAATCAAGGAAGTTCATATTTTTTCCTGACTCTCTTAATATACATAAGACAGCTGGCTGTGGAATGCACAGAGCGGAAGGTTCTTTCGTGTCAATCATGAGATTGTGCAATGCAGTAAACAGAAAGAGGAGGAAACAGAAAAAGGACAGGATCTGTAAAAGCCTGCAGCAATTTCTAAAATAACAATTTCACTGAATCTACATCTCTCTGTAAAGCCTGTTTTCCGTTTGCTTTTTAATGAATGTATACTGGTGGGAATTATGGAAATCATTACCTCTCACCTTTTTATGTATTTTCTCTCCTCTTATGTTCGCACCTGTCTTATCTGGAAATGCATCAGGCTAACTGTCAGGTAGGTTCTTCTTGGCATTTAGTGTGATTAGTAGGAGTATCCATAGTGGGAAACGAAGTAAACAGACTCTTGGTGACCTGTGATGAATGACAAAACTAAATAGAAAAGGCATATCCTAAATTATGGGGGAACTTTTTGCAGATGCATAAAACTAGAGAAGCTGCAAACTCTGAGCACATTACGCTGGTGTGAACATATATCATAAGAACTTCGCCTGGGGGAATATAGCAGCTCTCAATGATAAACTAGGTTACCTGGACTGCCCAAATTTGCTGTGGCTCCGAACACAGACTGCTCCCGGAGGGCTTCATTGTTACAGATTGGTCCTGTATCCTAGGTCATCACAAGAGATTCTGCTATATATATAATACCAGTTTTTACAGATTTGTCTGGGTTCAAGAAAAATTCACAACAATGTATTTTAAACCCCTATTTTAAGTATGTATCGAGGCACACCTTGTGTCCTGCAGGAAGAGGACAACAAGCAAGAAAGGGGAGAATGGTGGTCTATGTTTGTGGATGCTGAACTCACCTTTGGGGTTGAATTGGAGCTGATTTAGCTCTAGTCAAAGGAAAGGTTGCTGGGGATTGCAGAGGGAGACAGAGCTGTTCGTTTCTCCCTTGGGTGTCAGGGGAAAGTATTCCTTCACCCAGATGAAGCAGGAAAATAACCTCTTTTTAGCTCCTCAAGTGCAAGACAGATATTTTATATGCCCAAGCCATGGCTAAGCCCAAGAGAAAAGAGACATACATTTAAATTAGAGTGTTGTGTGTGTGTGCACGCGTGTTGTTGTTCAACTCATTTCTATCTTTCAAGAGGAAAAATTATGTGCTTCAGTTGCCATGCAACACACACTGCTCTAACAGCTTTCTAATTTTAATTTCAGAAGTCTACAGAGCAAATGAAGAAGGTCCCTACTATTATTCTATCAGTCTCTTATAAAGGAGTCAAGTTTATTGATGCAACAAATAAGGTGGGTACTGCACCTCTCTGGTTCTGATGCCAGATACAGTTCTGTGGATATGATCTAAAATTCTTAGCTTCTCATCCTGCCCAACATCCTCCAATACAATCACTCCTCACCCCCACCTTCATGATCCTTAGACACAACTGTAGATATATCCCCACTACCCCCACCCCAGACACAAACACTCATACATACATGCAGAAAGGCACATTGCATTTGAGGGACTTGACCTAGAATTTCTACGCATATTTTGCTTTCTCTTTTCCATGGTGCCTTCTCTAATAGTTCAGGGCCATATCCCTTTAGATCTAGAGAATGTTAAAGTGGGGATGGGGGTGGATCATGTATTGAATGAAAATACAGCAATATTCCTCCATGAGAGGGAAGGTCACTGAGTAAAGGGCTAGGACATTTGCTTCCACTTCTCTGGAGAAGGGTATGTCCTTTCTTTTGATATGTATAATAAGTACCTGACACAAGGAACACATTCTCTAACTTTCATAATGGCATTTAATTTCATGATTGCATTTCATTCTCAACTACTGAGATGGAAGGGAGCTTAGCAACCATATTGTTTGCTTAAGGGACACAGTCCAAAAAGAAGTTCAGATTGTGCTGTGACCCTGCAGTGACTTTGTTCTTACGGTGGGAAGAGTTTGTGGGTTCCAAGGTCAAGTCTGAACAAATAGACTGCATTTTACTTAAAAAGTGTCCTCAGATTTCTCTCTCGATGAAGATGACAGTGCATTGCTGGACTAGAATGCTTGGTGTGCCCACACTCACTTTCCCAAGCCCAAGCTGATCAGTTCCTCCTCCCAGAACCCCCAGATGTCCATGTGTTTCATTCTTACATCCTTCCAAATGATGAAGTGTGGGAAGGGGAAATGAGGTGGTGCCTGCTGATGAAAACTATTTGTTTTCTGGGTTACTCACCCATATCACCCCCCTGAACCCACTCCATTTTGGAAAGAGGGAGCAGAAAGTCATGAAACAGTGGACTTAAACAACGGTGATTGAGAGTCAGGGCAACTGGATTCCAGTATTAGGGGAAGTGCTGGCAGTGCTGGCTGCTGATAGACCGAGCACATTCAGAGTCAGATGCCTTACGCAGAATGGTAGTTTCGACTCTGCGATATATCCTTGACAATTGTGAGATTACAATTGTTGAGACTCTAATCAGAAAAATCCCACGTAGTTGGCTTTTTTATTTCTTGGATTCAGCTTTAATAAATGATCCATAAACTTACCTTATCCTTAAATTCTAGTCAGTTGTTTTAAAAATTTCCAAAACTTTATGGAATGCTAGTTGAAGATGCCATTGCTATAACAATGTCTAAACTTCAAGAAAGATGTGGCATTTGTATTTTTTTCTAAACCCACAGCAATTGTCTCCACCCCTTTTGCATTTGAAATCCATGAACAATGTATTTTCCGTGTACGAGTTTGGCACACTCTTACACTGACAGCTTGGGTTCTGACAATTTCTAAACAAGTGGCATTTGCCCTGAGATGTTGCCAGTCTTCAGGCTGTCATTCCATGGAGCTGGTGGTGTGGCCGGATGCATCTGTATGAAAAACATCCTCTCTAACCCACTCTCCACACTCAGAGGAATGCGAGAGCTCTGTCGGTTGTGTTGCATTTTGCCTACACACACAGTTGATCTCCTGGACCCTGAAGAGATATTTCAGTTACCAATAATCAGATGAGTTCTCTCTGGACTCTGCTCCCTGATGACTATTCTTTGGCCATATAAGCACCCAGTGATAGGCAGAAGATCATTCTGTGTGAATAAAGACACTAAAGAAAGCCAGCTTAGCCTTCAAGTTCCTGCAGCGCAGAATGAGCATATTCTCAAAATCTAAGAGTAAAGGTAAAGTGCACGTGTTGGCGGCAAGGAAAGCAACCCCGCTGTGACTGTGTGGCAACACATGCCTGGCATCGCTAGGGACATTGATTTCAACTGGTTAAGCATCATATCCTGGTGTGTTGGAATGTAACTGATTTACCCCAGTCTGCAATGGATGAGGAAAGAGTGGGTGTCTCAGGGTGATAGTCTGGTAGTTGCTGTGTGAGACGCCATAGAGAATTGCATGAGAAAAGCAAAAGAAAGAAATCCTATAAAGCTACATTTGTGGAGCTTGGCAGAGAAGACTGAGGAACACTGCCCCCAGCAGAGATGAAAGACTTCATGCTCCCAAGGCATGAAGCAGCTATTGTTGATGCCCTCACACACCTAGACTCTAGCAGTGCTGTGGTGGCATCTTTGTAGGTATGTTGCTCTGTAGTAAAGAGAGCAACCAAGCTTCTGTTAAAGATTTATTTTATTTATTTATGCATACAAGAACTGGGGTTCAGGCCAGAGGTGCAGGGGTGAGAGGATTCACCAGAGACAGAATGGGGAGCAGAACAGGCAGATCTACTGAAATACACTGCTGAGGGGAGCAGCGGGGAAACAGGAGAGGTCTACTGTGTCATGTGGTTAGCTCCCTGGCTGGGGATCAAACTCATGCTGCAGTGGCTGGCAATAGCTTGATAGCGCTGAGACTTTAACCCCTGCTCAACCAGGGAGGCCCCCAACCTCTTCCAATAAAACACATGTTAATAAAGGAGCAGATTAATAAAGCCAGAGTTCTGCTTTCTGTTTGTACCAGAAAGTTCTCCCAGAGAAGTGTTGTCATTTTATTTGAAGTGAAGGACTTGGGAAGTGTAGACATATTGAAGACTTCAGGTTGAAGTCTTACTACTAGTCACTAAGCATGTAACCAGGCTCAACCAAAAGTCACATGGTAATAATCAGCTAGGTTGTTTTCTTTGTACTTGCTTCTCAACGGTGCTGTCCTCACTGGTGCATCTCTCTAAACCTGCCCTGCTGAGACAGAGGCTGCATGATCAGGCAGAGTAACTCGGAGCCTTCCTTAGGTGACTGCCCCGCAGTCACACAGCCAGTTGGTGATGCAGAAAGACTAAGACTTGACTTTCCCACTTCCTCAACTGGCATCCAGAGCTACCTTCCGCGCGTCTGAAATGCAGTGGATGATTACATGTTAATTACTCTTCTGTTCTTATTAGTCCCCAACAGACTCTTGAAGGACCCTCCAGCAAAGCATGTCTTTCCTTTTATTTTAATAAATAAATGGCTTTGACTGAGTTCATGGGGAAAGGTTAGGTATGCCTCATTATAACGTCATAAACTAATTGCCTAGCAACCTAGGAAACCAATCAAATTACTAAACCTGCCTGAAGAAAGAGGAAGAAAATCCTCTTGAGTTAGAAATGGACTTAGTACTAAAACAGCGTAGATAAAGCAGAGTTTTCTGTACACGCATAGCCAGGGGTAGCTGTGGATGGCGACCACCCCCTGGGTCTGTGACCCTCTAGTGACAAAGCCAAGGGGGATCAGCAGGGTCTCCCAAGAGATGCCTCGGTCCCCAGAGACAGCACTGACCTGTGGGCAGTTTGCATTTTGCCCTCCTGCACTGACCCCATCTCAGTTTTCTTCTCCGGCTAAATTAGGCGTGACCCAGCACCAGGCATTGTTTGTTATTGTTGTCGTAGGAATGCCAGCTTCACACAGGGATGATGCTAATTCTTAGGCACAAAATAATTTGGCACATTTGACTAAACAAGTGCCTGTTATTTTGATAGCTCGTATTTCATCGAAGAAGCTCACAGTCAAATGAAGAGCCCATTAAGCATCTGTCATCAGCACCGGCCTCTCGACAGGCCGCACCCCTCCCTGCCTCTCCCCCAGCTCTTGCCCTTGGTCTTGGGAGGCCTCTCTGAATGGATACTTCATTCTCTTACTCGGAAAAGGCTGGTGGGGGCCTCCCCAGTGGCACAGCAGGTTGAGTGCAGCACTGTGAAGCTGTCCACAGCCTCTGCAGTGCGGGTTCAATTCCCGCCAGCCAGGGAGATACCCACATGGCGCAGTAGACCTCTGCTGTCACGCCCACTGCTCCCCTCAGCAGTGTATTTCAGTCAGTCTGCCTGTTCTGCTCCCCACTCTGTCTCTGGTGAATCTTCTCATCTCCCCGCATCTCTCCTGGCCTACACCCCAGCTCTTGTATGCATAAATAAATCTTTAAAGAAAAAAAAGAAAAATCAAAAATGATATCTGTGAATTGCCAAAGGGAATTCAGACCTGCCACTGTAACACTGTAACACTTTCCCAAAAGTTGATCTACCTTATGCTAATAAAGGATCTCAAGAACACAAAATGCCAATTTAGTTAGAAGTTGAGCCGGTGCTTTCTTTGCCTGTAACAGTGGATCCTGGAAGGTGAGACCAAATCCAGAGTTTCCCCAAGTCACTGGCAGCCCCCAATTAAAATGAGGATAGAGACACTCAGCACCCACTAACGTGGCATCTCTAAACACCATGTAGATCTTTATTTTAAAATTCATTCTAAGACTCATTACTCCCCAATTTAGTTCTCTACTGAAGAAATGCTAGACCAGTGCCAGAAGAGGATCATGACCTATTCTGAAACTGTCTCCTGCAATAGGATGCTACTTGTTTGTGGTTTGCCCATTTCATTTGGAGAATTTTTTGACAGAGTCTTGGGTGTTGTGTCAACAAACAGGTCCACACTGAAGAATGCCTTGATTTAATTTCCTTTATGTGTTAATTCTTTAATTGCTTCCCAGCCACACAGCTCAGGAGAGTGGGGGTGAGAAGTGCTTGCTGGGGGTGCTGGCAGGGAAGGGCATTTCATAATCACTTTCAGGCATTGACGGGTGTTTGCAGAACATCATATTGCTGACAGGTTATTTAAGACTGTGCAATTAAAAAGTAATTAGGATAACTAAGGCATCAAGGGTTTTAGATCTATGACAACTGCAAAAAACATAAATGGGATATTATAAGATAAAAAATGATCGCACAATTCTGTGAAAGTTTTTGCTTTTCAGTACACCTAGGCGTCAAAAGAAGTTTCTAGCAGGATTTGCAGCCAAAATGAGGCTCTGTGGTTATTTTATGCTTTGGGACAAAAATGTTACTTAAACCTTTTCTCTCTTATCTCCCACCAGTTATTCTTGGAGGCAGGTTGGGATGGTGGGGCTGGCAGGGAGAAGGCTCAAAGAAATTCTAGAGAGAAAAAGTGACAAAATTATGTGAAACCAGTGAAAAATGATGAGTGGTTTTGCAGTGTTTTTGAAAAAACCTGAGTTCTGCAGCTGGCACCCCCAAATTTCAGCCCCGGCTGTACCAGCTGCCCTGTGTATGGCACTTGCAGGTCCCCCAGTGCAAGAAGATGGTGATTAGCACTGCACCCACTCAGAACTGTGCAAGCTGAGGACAGTGATGGAGCCCCCCTGTCAATCAATGCACAAAAGGCCCAAACTTCCTGCATCCCACCCCCCATCTTAACCTCCACTGAGCCATCAAGAGTGCGCCTGGGTGCTCCCCGCTGCCTGCTGTCCTCTGTACCTGCCTTTGGTCCAGGGAGGAGGACTGGTGCCAAGACAGCGGGCAACACCACCCAAGGGACCTGGAGACCCCCTGGGTCAGAGAACCTCCCACTAGTCAGGCTTAGCAGGAGGCAGCACTATTTACAGGTGGATGCGGGGAATGGAAACAATAAAATGCTAGTAATTACTGTGTTTTTTAAAAAGTGTCTGCCACCCAGATTGCTGCTTTGTGCAGCACCTGGTGAGAACCAATGCTCCAGGATATAACTATTTTGGGTTGTTTTTGATGAAAACATTCCTTCCAGAGCTAGTGTAATTTGCCTACACATAATGCATCTAATCACTTTGAAAGTTGCCTGGCCTAGAACATTCTAGAAAGTGAAAAAGCAGCTCTTTCTCTGGTCACTTGCTTTGGCCCTAAAATATGCTGGTTTGCAAAGGAAAACAATGGTCATTTATGTCATTTCTTCCAGAACATAATTGCCGAGCATGAAATTCGTAATATCTCCTGTGCTGCCCAGGATCCAGAAGACCTCTCTACCTTTGCATATATCACAAAAGATTTGAAGTCCAATCACCACTACTGTCACGTGTTTACTGCCTTTGATGTGGTGAGTAACTACCCTCTTTATACAGACTCAACATTTCCCCCACGGTACCTGGACTTTATGGAAAGTCCAACTTGCAATTAAGGTACAACTTGGCTTGTTTACTAAGTATGAAGGTATTTTGCAGACTCAGCTTTTCTGAACTCTTGCTGTATTTTCACTCTCCTGGTATCTCAACCGTCATTATTCAACAACTGCCGTCACTTTGCAGGCTTAATGAATTCCTTTCTTTCTCCGGTACCAAAATATAGTCAATGTCTTCCAGCCTCCATTTCCTTCGTTGTGTCTATGGGTTTCTCTGGTAGCTATTCCCAAGTACTAGGGTATAATGGTCTCTGTTTGGAAGAAAAACAAATTTTTGTGCCTTGTACAGCATTTGTGGTTTCCTATATTTTAGTAGTAATCAAATTGGGCACCTACAAATAGTAATTGAAAAAAACAAGGTTTGAACCATTTGCTTATTCAGAAATTCATAGTCTTACATTGTTCTTCAGTCTAAACACCAGCCCCTATATTACGAACTTGAACAATGAAAGCAATTTTTTAAAATGATGCCTTTAAGATAACTCCTTTAGGATATCTATATAGAGATAAGGAGAGTTCCAGATAGATATAGCCCCAAGATGACACAAATCTGTTGAGGAAATCTCTAATATAGAACACTGGCCATTCTGCCTTTGAAACTGACAGAGCAGATATGGTTGTAACCATGAAATAATTTGTAACCAAGAGAATTCTGAAATGTCACTTTAATTTGATAATTCTGTTTGATGTGTTGGAAATACACATATTTTAAAAATTACACAAAAATGTCAGTACTCTTGGGCGGCCAGCTCACATTCCTGTATCACAGGTAAGACTGCCTGAAGCAGTAGTTGGTCTTTCTTACTTCTGGCAAACACCCATGGGCTGAGGTTCACCATCCTGCAAAGTGTACACCCTCCTCAGGTGTGCTGGGAAGTCTCAGGCCCAGCACTGTTTGTATCATGCTACCTGTGACTCATCCCTTTCCTTTTTTGAAGATCGTAAACAGGAAAGATATACCCTTATGTGGGTATATCGCTTCTAAATGCTGTTTTCATTGCATGTCAGAGTTCATATTCTGCTACATTTCAGGGTGAATTCCAGCCTTGAGTACTGCAGCATCTCTAAGCAGGTTTTGAAAGAAGGAATATCATTTCCTTCTCTTGAGTAGCCAACATGTTATGTGCATTTAAGCTAAAAGGGACAGCCTGGGGCCATTTGTGCTCATGAGCTTTTGAGCTCTGTGTGTGCGATCCCAGAATACCGAGGTGAGGCATGAGGGGACAGTCCACGTTTTAATTGTATGGTCGACATGTTATGTGCCTGATCTGGCTGGACAACGTGTGGAGAGTTGTTTCCTCTTGATCTTTTCATCCAGATGTTTGATTTCATGAAGACTTTTGCTTAGATTCTGGATTCTGGTATCTACTCCAGGGGATTTTCATCTTATGCCCCAAATCTGCCATTTTAATCCTCTCTGGGTGAGCAGTTAATAGAACCCCCAAAATAGTAACAAAGGCCACCCGCCTCAACCTGGGCCTTTGAGCCATTTTGAGATGCAACCAGCTTTGCTTGCACTGAAAAAAGCCTTGTGGGCATAGATTTTGTATTTTTATGTAGGACAGTTCAATATTCAGTGCTGTCTTGAAGCTTTAAAATTCTCTTGACATGAGTCAGTCCCCTGGGCTGCCCAAATGGTAAGAAAAGAAACAAAAGAGTGACAAATGCACACTCAGTCTCTTAGTTGATCTATATGAGGACATAAACATTTTTAATTGCAAAATTATTGCCACTTTGACTTTACAGACCTGAGAACATGCAATGTTTTCATGAATATCTGTATCATCAAGAAAACATGGTGATACTTGAATGTCTCCAGATGATAGGGAGGTAGATTGGAAATGTGGAGCATTTCCATATAGAAACCCCAGGGTCCAGAAAAGGCCCATGTCTCCTGCATGCTTCATTATTATAATAGGACATTGCCCAGTGTTTAATGAACCCAAGTTCATTTGGCTACAGTAGCCTTTTGGGGAGAGCACCTCTCCATATTTTCCATTTGGGATGATAGAAGATGAACATAAAAAGACTAGAGTGGGGCCTCCCCGGTGGTGCAGCGGGTTGAGTGCAGCACTGTGAAGCTGTCCGCATCCTTTGGGCGCCGGTTTGATTCCTGGCTGGCCAGGGAGATTCCCACATGGCGCAGCAGACCTCTCCTGCCTCACCCGCTGCTCCCCTCAGCAGTGTATTTTATCAGCCTGCCTGTTCTGTTCCCCGCTCTGTCTCTGGTGAATCCTCTCACCCTCCTACACCTCTGGCCTGTACCCCAGCTATTGCATAAAAATAAATAAATCTTTATAAAAAAAAAGACTATAGTGTCCCCACCCCAAAAGCCAATATCTGCCAGCCAGCGATTGCTAGACCAATCCTGTGTTCTAGACTCACCGTGGTGGAGTGATTTCTGCTCACATCTCCAACTTGCTCATCCCAGGACACATCTCACTCTCTGTAGCACAACAAGCTCCCCAGACTCCACCTTCCAGGTAATGACAACTTGGGGGAAGGTTGGTGCAGTGGGACCTACATAGGTAAAAGAGACTCATAACCAGGGTCATTGGAAACTGGTCTATTATCTATTATTCACTCGTGAGTTTGGATTTCTATGTAATAGAATTGAAACAGGAAGACCTCAATGCATTCCTTGTGGGAGCATCAGAGTTATTTTAAAAATCTGGGAAGGATCTCATTCCGTCATTCTAAAACATGAAAGAAGTATTTCTTTTTTGTAATTAACGTTGAAAGCCATGACTGTTGCTAGACCCTTGCTAATTCTCACTTCTTCAGAAAGAACATGTTTCAGTCTTCGGTATTTTTAACCATGCTCATTTTTCTCTTACTTGCAACTCCCGAATTCTGTAACCTTCAGTGAGTGGCATGTGGGGTGCCTGGGCTTAGGAACAGGGAGAGTGGCAAGCTTGATACTGGTGGGCGGTGCTCATAGGAGACAGCTCCTCTTGCCTGCGCTCTCCTGGCTGAATGGGGGCTGTGAGAGGTTCTAAGCTGGAGAAGCAGAAGTGACAAGGGCAGGAAAGCATGGTCAGTGGACAGCGTGACCATTTCATAAGCCTCCACCATCAGTGCCTGCCAGCAAGGTCAGGCCCAGAGGAGGAACACAAGGCCGCCCTTGCTGCCACATCAGCTTCTGATAGTGACTCTGCTACGAGTTTCTTTTTATTCGTAGTAGTAATTTACAAAACTACCTAAATTTGGGGGTTACACCTTCACCTCTCTGTGTGGCTAAGCCCTGGTTTTCTTGTCCATCTAATGAAACTGATATTCCTGAGTCCTTTGCTTTTTATCTTATTTTTCCTAGTTTCATTGAGATACATTTTGACATATAAAGTGGGATCGGTTTTAATAGAGCCCACTTTTTAATCGGTTTTAATAGTGCATAATAGAACGATGTGATAGATATGTGCATGGTGAAATGATCCCATAATAAAGTTAGTTAATATCCATCCCCTCATAGATCTATAAACGTTTTTCCTTGTACTGAGAATGTTAAGATTGACCATCCGAGCAAACTTTCAGATGTGCAATACGAGATACTGTTAACTATAGTTGCCGTGCTGTGAACCACACCCCAGGATTTACTAACTTATAACTGGATGTCTGTACCTTTGGACCACCTTTGCCCACCTTGTCCTGTCTCAAACCCTGAGCTGATGTCACAGCGTGGTTTAAGGGTCCTGACTTGTGTTGCAGAGGCTCTCCCTGCAAAAGAACTTTGTTGCTGTTGATCTTCATTGACCTCTGACAACTAAATTAATATTTTTTTAAATTTTATTTATTTTATACATACAAGAACTGGGGTACAGGCCAGAGGTGTGGGAGGGTGAGAGGATTCATCTGAGACAGAGTGGGGAGCAGAACAGGTAGAATGACTGAAATACACTACTGAGAGGAGCAGCAGGCGAGACAGGAGAGGTCTGCTGCGCCATGTGGGTAGCTCCCTGGCTGGGGTTCGAACTCATGCTGCAGAGGCTGCACACAGCTTCACAGTGCTGTGCTTAACCGCCTGTGCCACCAGGGAGGCCCTAAATTAATATCATATGTGTAATTCAGTGGTCTCAGGCTGGTTCTCTTTTTATTCCATCTGAAAAGAGTCCACAACTTATTTGGCTATAAAAACCGGAGGGGGTGGTGGGAAGGCAATAGGAAAAAATGTGAAAGTTTATGGAGTCCTTAAGAGAGGATCTTAACGCTTCCCCTGGGTCCCACTTCCCAAGCAGCAACCTGCATGCGCAGGAGAAGCTGGGCTTGGCAGGGGCAGCAGCTGAAATGCATCAGTTGCCTTCAGTGGAGGATCCTGCTCCTGAGAACAAGATGGACTAGAAAGCAGCACTCCCAGCCCTGTAGCCCTTCTACACTAGTACCTGCCCACCTCCCACCAAAAAAAAAAGGATAATACTGCTGGTTGCATTTGTACTTACCTCCTCTCTGTTGACATAAATGGTTGAGAATTAGCCAAGCCATAAAGGCAGAGGCGGTGGATATTCAGAGAATGGAAGTTACTCTCCCAGTGCTATTTTTGGGGGGTGGGGAGAATGGATTATCAGAGTTATCTGTGCCTTAATGGATTCCGCTTTTTGGGAAGTCAGAAAGTAAGCATGCTGAAACGCTTTTCACAGACTGTTTCCCAGCATTCGCACCTGCATTTATTTTCGTCCCCTCCCAAGTAGCTAAAAAATCAAATGTCAAGTCTAGGGGTGTGACCTTTCAAATCGGCCTGGTTTTGAATCCCAGGTCAGCATTTCTTGGCTTCATCCTTTGAACAAGAATGCCACGCATCTTCATTTTGCTTTTCTGTAAAACAGAGTTCACAAGAATAGCAGCACCTACAGATAGTGTGCGGGTGAGATGAGGGCGCACAGGTCTCCAGCACGCAGCCTCGGTCCATCTACTGCTGAGCAGGGAGG